ATAAAATAACTATTTTATATATATATATATATATAAAATATGCTCTATAATATACTTGAGTTATTCAACAGCGTGGTTTTTCAGCTCATTTTTCAAAATCATCGTGGAATGCATCTTCTCATTGCAATTAAAAATTGTTAAATTAATCGTTTAATGTATGCGAATATTATTCTCATACTTTGCTATAATAAGTATTAGAAATCAAACGAAAATTAAAATATGCATCTCATCAGGGAGAAAGATTATTAATGTGGAATAAGAATGAAGTCTTTTGGGAAAAGTGTTGCATAATGTGACATCTTCGAATAATTTGAAAGGGAATGAAAATTTTTTGCTTTTATAGTTAGTGATAAGATGGGAAGTATTTAAAATTTTCTCCGCTCGGGATTTTAGTTGTAATTATGCTTTAAAATGCAAAGAATAATCATTTTGAGATTCGTTTTTAGTGGCCAATTTTTGGATTTTATTTTTCTGATCAGAGTTAGGCATTTTTATGGAGCAATAGATAATTATGTTTGATGTGATTTGCCGAATTCACTTCTACTTTTGCCACATTTATTTTCACGTTAACTTTGTGCATATTCACTCAGTAGGCCATACTTCTGCGAGAAATTGTCAATACATTTCACAAGATTATCAATAGTTCCAATGCAGTTGATAAAAATCAGAAACTTTTTCGGTCTTACTGAAAAAAAGCAGACATAACTTTTCAGTGTTTAAGGATGAAAGAAAAATATCTTTCTTTTTTAATTTCTTTTTTACTACGGTCTTCATTTTAGTTTCATTCACCGAAAATTTTCATTATCATAACATTTTTTGAAATGCTTAAAAAGTTATCAGAATTAATAGTTCATTTAAATACATGACTTCAACAAAAAACACAAGTATGAAAAATACACAAATTTAATCAAAATTAAGTCACCATTTTTACATGAAAAATTATAGCAGCTTCAAATTATTATGGTTTAATTACTAAACAGCCATTATTAACATATCAAATATTCATATAATTGAAATACTAAAAAAGTCATTATTTGTAATACATGAATATGTATTGAATGTAAAAGTTTGATCGAAAATTTGATCCTAAAATTAAGCCCATAAAAATTGCTTTAAAAAGTTCTTGTCATTCTGCTTGCTTAACTAATAAATTTTAGCAAATATTGAATAATAACTTTCTCAGTAAATACTATGAGAGTTTCGACAATTTTGAATATTTAAATATAGAATAATAATCTTCCGACGCATCTGCAAAAGTGGTACTTAACCATTTTTGGATAAAATAGTATTTACATGTGTGAGAAAAGGGATTTTCTCATATTTCTCCATCAGCACGTTAAAGAACTATATGCTAAATAATTTTACACTTTCGATTTATCGAAACATGAACAATGAGCTCCTTAAATTTGCGAATATGAAATTTTGCTCAACAAACTTCAGAAGGAAATAAAAGCTAATTATATTTGAAGTCAACACTATTTCAGATGATAAATTTTTAATATTTTCTATATCTCACATTCCTTTGTGTAAATTTTTATTTGTCGATAACAAAATACCAATAAGTAAAGAAAACTTCATAACTTTGCTATTTTCGTTTTTGATCATAAAATATCAGATTTCTCCAGTTATTTTCCAGTTTTCAGTTATGATCAGTGCAGATTTGGTGTTTAATATAAATTGCACTTAATTGTTTAAATAATGTAAATTTGTCGGAATTTTTTTAAATTTACAATTTATCATTTCTTAATTAGAAATGATTTGCGTGTGTATTATCATCCCTTCATTAAATTTCATTTCATTTTCTATTTAATCAAACAAATAGCAGTTTAAGCTCCCAGTCAAAAAATTAAAAACTTAAAAAAAAACGAAGAAAAGAAAATGTTGAGCAGAGAAAGCAAGCGCTTTATCATCTGTATTTTTACTTTATTTTTACTTAATAGAAGGTGAAATCAAACAGTATCAGTACTATGAGCACAAATTTTATTTTTCACGACTGCCAAGGGAAATAATAAGGTAAAAAATTTTTTTCTGAGATCTTTAATTACACATGAATTACAGAAAATATCAATAACCAGATCCTAGTCAAACTTGTGTAGAATAAGTCATTCTTAAGCGATTCTACTATCTTCAATTGATGAAAAGGTTAGAGAATTTTCCTACTTTTTATGAAACAGTAAATATCAAATATTCCTTGCAGGCACTACTAGCAACTGGTAGTCCTCCAAATTTCTCCATTACTATCATAAATACTATTTGCAGATTGTTGTCCCAACCTGAATGATGTTGCTGGTGACTGGGCACCGGAATGTACCAAATGGGCAGCTGAACCCATCCGATGATTGCGCACCGAATATCTACAAATGAAGTTCGAAACAAACAAAATTATTAGTTCATACTGATTGTAATTAATCATTTATCAATGCTAATATTGATCTTTATCAGAAGAAAGACAGGTATATTGCGACGATAAGCTTGGAAAAAAATAAAATTCGAGAAATTCTAATTTATTTTTCATAATTATCCAGTTTTAATTTCTACAAATTAAAACTGCGATCAACATGAATTTGATTCCCAAAAATATGCAGTTTATTACTCTAATTCTTCGCAGTTTTGATTTACAAATTTAAAGGCTCTATTGAAAATTTTGAAATTGAATGTAAAGGAAAAATTAAGTTCACCTTCGCCTAAAATTAGAATCAGAATAAGGCAATTGATAGCATGAACAAGAGCATATTGAAGCATTTTCAACATCAAATGATGTTCGCATACTTTTCTTTTCATCTAATTTCTTTTCTCGATATTCATCTCGGTATCCGCATTGATTTGAATTATCGAACGATTTTTGAGTTGAAAATGGATATTTATACCGATCAGCTTGATCGGTAGTTACACATACTAATCCTGAAAACAGTTTAAAAATTTTTAAATTAGTACTGACAATTACTAAGTCAATAAATGATATCAAAAACCTTGGTGAAAGTTCACAATATGAGATAAATATTGAGTAATAAAAAGTCTATCTACTGAGCAATTAACTATGTATATCAATCAACTTCGAAGACACCAAAACAAAGAAGTAGATCATATTGGGTAAAAAAAATCACACAGCTATAAGTAAATTGCTAAATAATTCCCTATTTCAATCCAGATAGCAAACTTCATTTTTAATCTGTCATACATTCATTCGACGCAAATAAAACTGATAATATTGCTGAATGTAAAAAATGAAAAATATTAGCATATTATCAATCTTTTTGATGGCATTTATTTTGACAGAAAATGTCATAAAAGTGAAATTTTTTGATGTAAAAGGAAGGAAATTTGTCAAAATAATTAAAAGAACAAAAACAAAAGTAATTGAAAACCTCGGGCAGCAAGTTTAGCTTCTTGTTCGTCACGTTTTTGGTCTTCAGTATTCATTGTCAAAAATCGCAGTACTAACAAATTCATTGCTGCTGAGATTACTGTTAAACCAAAGAGAATAAATACCAAAGCAAATGCGACATATTCTGGTGAATTTTGTAAGGCACCATCTTTCTGCAATGCTACATAGTCACCAAAACCTGTAAAAGTTCATCCAGTCTTAACATTTATAAGAATTCACTACAATAACACTTCATTTAGTAGAAATAAATAAGAAAACTACTCAAGTCATAGTTTATAAGTAATAAAAATAAACTCTTTTGTAATTTTCAAAAATTACAGAAGTAACGTTCAAAAATTACAGAAGTATATTTTCCAAAAAGGTTATGAGTAAAAAATCATAATTATTTTTAAATTATTGAGTAATAGAATAAATACTTTACCAATTGTTGTAAGCGTAGTAAAGCAGTAATATAAACTATCGAAATAGGTCCACTTTTCATACCGTTGAAAAACATATGCTCCTGAAGCGATAAGGAATGAGCCGCAACCAGAAGCAACAAGAATTAAGTCAAGGTACGTGACATTCGGTGGTTTACCAGCTAAACGTCGGCACGTACGCAGCAGCATTGCTGCAAACGTATTGATCCTGAAATTTAAATGCATACTTTAAGAAAACTATAAAAAGTTATTTTGACCGAAAATGGATCGAGTAATCTTTGAAACAGTCAAATTTTTAAATGCTTGGAGGTAGCACAAAGATAAGCAAACTATGCTACAATGCAGCTGTAATTAACTTAATAGACTGAAATGAATAATGTAAGTGCATTGAGTGATAATCAAACTTCTCAGTGCTGGTCACACCTTACTCGAAAATAATGACTGAATCAGTAAGCAATTTGGTACACATATCGAGCAAATATATGACAAATTTTGTGCAGCAGATGCGTACTTGATGAAATTGCTTGAAATCATCTTGAAGCACTTTATAATGTTAGGAATCAACTACAAATTATAAACATTCCCGTAGAAATAAATTTAATCTCTTACTCAAGCAAAGTTTCACATATTTTTCGACTAAAAATGTGATTCTTGTTAACTCTTTACAAAGAAATGCTGATTACGCTTCGAGCTTGAGCTAATCAATAATTTGCACTATATTTATGTCTAAACAGTGTTATCATGTTTGCCCTCTCATATTTGTGCTAATTTTTACGTAATTCATTTTCGATTGCGCTCTTTTTTGACTAGTAACACTAAAGTAACAAACTCTTATGATGATAATTTACGTTGCTAAAAATTATAAGAATCATTTAAGTGAAGATTTCATTGCTTCCGAAAATAGCGATGTTTCTTAAAAACTCTCATTAACTTAGTTTTAAAAAATTGTACCTTTCACCTATACTTTGGAACATAACTAGTCCAAGGGGAATACCAGCCAATGCATAAAACATGCAAAATGTTTTACCACCAATTGTAGATGGAGTACTATGTCCATAGCCTAAATTATTATGCTGTAATATATTCTTGTCATAAATCAAAAATCTGAATTTATCTTTATGAATTTAAGTTATTTTTGCACAGTAAAATATGGAGCTTTATTATAAGAACTAATACTATTTCTCGATTTTATTTAGTTTCATATATTCATTTCCATCAATTTGCCGCATATCCGATAATGCTCCATGTAATTTCAGACTATAACTTACAAAATATTTTGGCTATTTATTCTTTCCCTAATTGATCTGATTATTCTTATGAGCATAAATTATTTGGAAAATCTAATGAACTTAATAAGAAATTTGGAAATCAACTTTGGTGATTAAATAAGTGCTAAAATTATATTCATCACCACTTTGAATGCAATGATATTATGAATTGTTTCCTTCTTTATACAAGTTATAGAAATTGACTTGCTTGAATTATCTTTTAAAAAACTCTATTAAGCAAACAAAAAACGCGATGTTTGAAACACTGAACATATTTGCGCTGATGCCCACGATTATCACCTACTTTCCTGACAAAAATGATTGAAAATAAATTTTATTCTATCATGGATTACCAATTACTGCCAGGAGAATCATTATTAATGACAGCTAAGAATCATAACCGATCTTGTCATTAATTTTCTTACCAATTGTTGTGATGACAGTTGTAGCAAAATAAAAGGCACCACTGAATTTCCACTGATGACCAGCTCGATGAGGCATCGACCTAATAATAATTGCTTCAAGAACTCGATAATCAGCTTTGCTAATATTGTATTTAATAGTCAGGCGGTCTTTGACTTTTGACACCAAAGCTCTCTGTAAATAATTTTTTCTTATAACCAGAAACTTGCAGGCTTCGGTTTAACAAAAAGTAAAGCTTTGTTTGATGTGATGACAATATAAACACAGATGATTAAATGTTGAAACCAAATGCAAACATTTTTACACATTTACAACAGTACTTTTAATATTTCTTTGCTTTTTTTAAAATTTGAATCTTTTTTAAAGTTTTGCATAGCTATAAAAATCAGATATTACCACTATATAAGCATATTACAGTGTTTTAATACAGGAAAATTAACGTATGCTACTTGATTGACATCATTATATAAAGAATTTAGATCATAATGTAAGTGATCACTGTATTTGTTGCATATTTGTTTTCAATTAAATACTGCTTATCAATCTAAGATATGAAACCAACGCAAGATATATCATTTAAGTGACATCTTTTCAATTATAATTTGGTAAGCTATAAGTTTCCTTTAATTTCAAAAAAATGTTAAATAGTGTTTTCAACCTCAATGCTAGTTTTCAAGCAACAACATACTTGTTGCATTTCATTATCAGATTCCAACGCATCGAAAACAGCTGCGCCAATAAGTAAGTAAGTTAGCGTACAAACAATTAATGACAACGTACGCACGTTTTGGCGTTTCATACCACATCACCGCCACCCTTACTTTTAACTTTCACAAAATTATGACAATGTCTGAAACAGCGGAATGTTAAGCACTTATCATCAGCTTCAATTCTCAACATATTTTGCAAATGCATGAGATTTGTTGGTATCTATCCACGTTTCAAGTTAAGTCATGAAAAACAAATCCTACATTAATAACAAGTAAAAGTTGTATTTAGAAATTATTTATAATTTTGAATGAAGTAACTAATTACTTTTTTGCTAATTTTTCCACCTATCTTTTAGTACTCTAAGCCAATCGCTGTTTCTACTTTTATCCCTTGGAATCCTAATGAAGTACTTCGATATCATAAGAGAAAAATTTGTATTTTACTGATTATAATGATAAAATTTATTTTTATTCAGTTAGCAATTTCAAAGCAGTTGACATTATTTTCAGCGGTCTAATGGGCACCACTTTTCATGCTAATTATGTAGCTTTCAACATTTGATAGTAACAAATCGTTTCCGAAAAACTTACTCTCAGACTAAAATGTTATTAATAACCGCAAAAAGCATAATTATCATCTTTAATGCTGATTTTAATATTAAAGTCATTTCGATAATTTAAAACTGATAATAAATATTGAGAATTTTGAATTTAAAAATTTGGGAAAATTTAGCAAACAATCGTTGGCAATTTTTTAGCAAAATCAAATTTAGGATGTCTTAATATGGGTAATTGGTTCAAAATGATAAAAGATATAGGTATTAAAAAAATCAATTGAAAAAATTGTTTCTTGTGAAAATCCTAAATATGAGTATTACTCATTTAATGAGTTCGTAAAGCTGTGTAAAGACAACTAATAATCAAGGATATCTAACTATAAAAACATTATAATTAAAGTACTAAATTCATTGCTTTCAATCAAATAAATCAACTAGTTGGTGCAGTGACAAAGAATTATCTCAAACAGGCAAAATTTATTCTGAAAATCACAACAAGAAGCTAATAATATGCGATATGTGTCAAGAATTTTTGTTCATTCTGATGAGCTACTTAGTTTCCTGCCATTACAGCAAGTTATAGTTGTGTAAAGACAACTGATAATCAAGGATATCTAACTATAAAAGCATTATAACTGTGCTCACAATCATTATGAAAAGAAAGAAAAATGAAGAATCTAGATTATTATGAAAAAAAGTGGTGAAATTCAACTTTTAGTTCATTTACATTGGAAAGAAAAAATAATTCATTCCAGTCAATAAATTACTAATATAAATCCACGACAAATAAAGTGTAGAATTTCTTGGAAGGTCAATCAACTTGAAAGCCAAAAATGTTGCATTCAGAAAGAAATAAAAGATTACGAAGTAATGCATCGAATTATATACCTAAATGAAAAGGGTAAACAGATAAACAGCTATGCTAAAGCACATAAAGATCGCAAAATAACTCTAGTAAACCAATTGTGAAAAATGATTGTGGGCACTTTGTATTCAAATTTAAAAATCTTTATTAGTCAGTCTGAAGAATATTATCATCGACTATTTAAGCTTGATTTCCAATTAATTAGGACTATAAATTAATTAATTACCTGGAATTATTTCATTATGCTAACTTACAATATTCCGATTATCATTAATGACAAATAAAACGAGACAATAGAAAAATTAGCGTGTTCAGGAAATTAAGTCAATCTTCGTTCTTTCTAGCTAATGAGTCTTTAAAACAAATACATTTATCAACGAGAAAATATAAATTCGTAACAGCCAGTGATTTGTATGAGAATGAATATTCATATTTAATAGTACAGATTACAACTAATAATTGCAACAAAACTATTTTTTTACAAAATAATCTCATTAATAATCAGAATGGGTAGAAAATTTGGGAGTTTCAAAAATTTTTTTTCCGATGAACTTTAAACACTGCAAACACAAGCAGTTTTAAAAATTTTGAAATATTAAAATCTTATAATTTCACTAATCACAAATATGGATGATCTACATGCTGACAATAAACAGCTTTCACAAATTTTAACATCTGAGCAGTCTAAGATATCCAACCATCAGTAACCATGCGGAATCGCAGTAATCTGATAATCTTGTAGATCCTAAAACTTTTTAAATATAAAATTGTCGAGTATTTCAAAGCTGAGATTCTTGAAGTAACTTTGGTGCTACAAAAGTCTGAAAAAACTTTTGAACTATTATGAATGTTTTGATCTTTAAAAAGTCACAATAAGATAATGAACCTGTTCTTCAAGACATTTATTTCAATTTCATTTTTTCATCTCTGTTATAGCCTGTCTGTTAAAATAAATGTAGCAAAATGAGACAAAATGACAGATGGATGGACCAGTCAAATTTGTTGATTTGTTGATTTGCAAATAAGTAAATGAGTCTGTTAGAATTGAAATTTAAGAAAAATGTTCAAAAATTTCAGTTGTAACAACAACTGATTTTTCGCAGCCCTCTCAGTAGTCTGTCTATTCGCCAGAAACATCAAAACGATTTTCTTCTTGAAAATGGAAACTTATGAGAAAGGACATAAAAACAGCTTTACATATTCACTTCTGACATGTTCCTCTCCTGCAGATCCTCTAATTTAATCAAACTAATACTTGATTGTTACAACGGATATAAAATAGAAATTATTTCTCGATTCACCCTTCAGATTCTACCACAATAATCAGTTATTACTTCTTTCCTCCTTGAAATACACATATAAACAATTTATTGTGCTTGCTGACACGCTCTATTGACAGATGTAATTATGCTAATCAGCAGACGCTACTCGATAACTCTAACATACTGTTTTCTTTTTAAATTTAGAGAATTTCAACCTTACTATACTCTGTTATCATTAACTAAAAATAATAATTTTATGCCCAATTATAAAATCAATTCTGATCAATCAATAAGCACTGCAAAATAACAATGACTGTTAATCATAATAAGTATAACAAATACTGTTAATGAGAAAAAATTATGGTCAAGTTGTAAATTCGAACGGTCTTACTTTTGTGAAATTTCTTCCTATAGTTGATTAATATCCTATAGTTTATTAATAATAAAATAAGAAATTAAAATGAAAAAATAATAGTAAATTATTCGATTACTTCCTACGTCTTACAGCTACTTCTTTCCTTTTTTTCTACACTAACAACTAACTATTAATCACTTTTAATCGAAATAATTCTGGCATCCATATTAATAAACTATAGGAAGAAATTTCACAAAAGTAAGACCGTTCGAATTTACAACTTGACCATAATTTTTTCTCATTAACAGTATTTGTTATACTTATTATGAGTAAAATTATTAGTTTCTCAACATGTTTCTCCATCATTTACAAACTATAAATTCAGATTGTTATTAAATTTACCCGAAGTAGTTAATGCAATTCATTAGAAAGCGAATGTTACTAGCAAATCTTTGAAAACATATCAAAAATTCATAATGAACAAAATTAAAAAATGTTTTTTTTTGAAATTTCTTACCAGTTCAAAATAAAACGTGCTACTAATTAATAAGATATCATGAATTATGAATATTCCTGCAGATTCAAATTAAAATATTTCGATCTAACTTACAATATAATTTGATTTCTGCTAATATAACAGCAAATATTATAATTTCAATTATTACAGTTATTTTACATTAAAACTAACTAATGATTATTGCTTTATAGGGAACCAAATAATAATGGGTTTTGTTTGAGGAGAACCACCAGCGCTTTTTTATTGTTCTCAGTTTACGAATATGACTTACTTGACTTCACGTGCACTAATAAAACTTTTCAATTAGCATTTCCTCAAAATTTGATATCGTAAAAAAGATAGGGCTTAATTCTTTAAGAGTTCATGATCTTAGCAAATTTTAAAAAGGCAACTCTGTGAAAAAAAAATTTATTTAAAAACTAAATCCAAATAAAACTTTCAAAATTATGGAAAAATATAGCAAAAAATCACAATGCACAAATTTAAAAATTTGTTTATTTCGTTATATTTAAAAATTTTTCTGTTACTTTAAAATGAAACAGATATGATATTTTTATTACTATTACTTATTCGTTACTTATAAGTGCTGAAAAGTTTTACAAATAGAACAAAATATCAAATAAACAAATATTTTTCTTCGATTTTGCTTAAGAGAAAAATTGTAACTTTAAATATCATTATAGTGATCAAAATAAATAATTTATTCGCAGTTGCAGTGTTGATTCAGCGTTTGAAATCATAAAAAGCAGATATCATTACAGTAAAAAAATGTCGGACAAAAAACAGAATGAAATTCGCAGTACAATTCTTTGATATGAGAAGACAAAAGCTGTTTGGAGCGGACTGGAAAAAAAGTGAGAATTAAAAAACAAATGAATATTTATCTCTATACTGTATATATATATAT